GAACGGTCAACATCAACGGCGATCGCCCAGAATTCTCACTGATTTAGGAAGCAGTTCAAATATTCTTGCTTCTGGTCTCCTTATCGGAAATGGTCTGCAAGCCGCTACCAATTTATTCAATATTGCCAGTCGACCAACTGCTAAGAAAACCGTCATTGTTGTAGCTGCAAATCCATCCCGAAATGGTGAAATCCCGATCTTCGAAGCCAACCAACTGAAAGCTGTAGCAACTGTTTACACAATTGGTGTACAGAAGCTCAGTGGTGTCGATTACAACGTAAACGAACTGCAACAGATTTCTACTTCCGGTAACCAAGTCGATATTCCAGCTAACAATAACGTCAACCAACAAGTCACCGTCCTACTCAACGAATTTGACAAAATTGCAAATCTGGGTTGTGGCGGTTCAGTTGTTACAGGTAAGTTGATTAAAGGGGTACACTAACCTTTCGTTCGCACCTGACAGACTCCCATTTCAGCTGCCATCATACTTGTGGAGGCTGCAGAAGTAATGATTGGAGGGGACCACCGCTATTTTTTTTAGAATCTAGGGGATGCCAGTGTCTGTGAAAAAAGAGCTTAAATCCTGCACTTTGAAAGAGTAGTATTTCAGTATTATTACATTTACTGTTTACAGTTAAATAGTGCAAATTTCGACAAAAAAAGATGTACTCTTTGGTCTCTTAGCAATACCCTTTCAATTAGACTCTTGGATTGCCCGAAATTTTCAATCAAATTGTACCTGTATTCTTCCTTGTTTTTGGGTTTTAATTATTTATAGAGCATCATCCGAAAACACTTCTTATCTGACCAAGATCGCTACCCGAAAAGATATTATTTGGGAGAGAGTTGTTAGGGGCGGGATGGATGATTCATGGACAAAATACTAAAATAAATTTGAATATTGTAGGACCATCAGTATCAAACTCAGTCTGTGACGAATGCGCTGCCGAAAATGGTGTTGGATACGTTACATACAGAAACTCCGCCGGAGTCGTTGACGGAAGATATTTTATCCAGTGTAAGCGTGAAGATTTTGGAAATGGTTTCATTGCCAATGTTTTAAGATGTCCCGACAGTTTGTTTTGGCACGACGACTTGAAAAACTGCGTTGGTTTGATTTCGTCTGATAACTACGAAGGCCAATGTGACTCCGGAACTTATGTTTTCGCCTCTGTATCCTGCGGAGCTTATTTCAACTGTACTGATGGTCAAGTAAGAAGTCAATGTTGCCCTGACAATACTGGTTTTGATCCTGTTCAGAAAAGATGTGTAACAGACCCTACTTGCAAGTTCCATTGCTCAGATCCATCTCTCTCCAGAGCTGGTAAGTAGAACCTAATACATCTTCACAATGTCAAGCTATCACGAATTTCGCACTTATACCTTGACTACAATAGATACCTTTCTTGTGTCACAGACGTTTGTTATTGCAGCGATTTGATTGGATTATACACTAGCGAATACAGCCAATCAGAGGCCGCTATATTAGGTAGCTTACATTCTAATCAAATCGCTGTATTTACAGCTGAACCCACCTCTCTGATATGATTCCAGAATTTGAAAACAAATAAATTCCAATATGTTTGAGATGTTTTGTCATACTGAATTCTTCTGAAAGGCAAATAATGTTTCAGACTTCTAGATTTTGAGCCTCAAAGCCTTTTCAACTTGGAAAATTCCTGGCTACATATTCTCGAAACGATCTTAGCGCTAGGATATCTTAGATTCGTATCATCTAATATTGATTCTAGGGCATCCTAGGTTCTTATCTTCTAACACTGTTTCTAGGATATCCTAGCACTAAGATTATTTCGAGAATACGCGGTTAGGGGTGGTTACAAACAGATTTAAAGTATTGATATTCATATTTCAGCCAACTGTGACAAAGAACCCGTTATTATGCAGACTGGACAAGTGAACCCATGTAAATTCAAGTGGATCGTGTCACCAAGTGTTTCCTATGAAATGCCCTGTGCTGTTGGCACCAACTTCAACCAGACTGCTTGTTCCTGTACCATCCACAGTAATGGAACCTGCCCCGGAGTTTGTAAGTATCTTGTATCAAGTAAAACCTCATCTTCACAATGTCAAGCTATTACAATGTCAAGCTATTACAATGTCAAGCTATTACAATGTCAAGCTATTACAATGACAAGCTATTACAATGTCAAGCTATTACAATGTCAAGCTTTTACAAATCGCGTCTAATACCTTGACTGCCATAGCCACTTTTCTTTTATCGTGGATTGTTTTGATTGGAGATTAGACTAGCGAATACAAGTAATCAAAGCCCTAGGTTAATCCAGTCATTTCGTGCCTTCCATCTTACTTTCCATGTAGATTCATTGTCGATTTTCTTTCTGATGTGGTAGATTTTGATTATAAGATATTTATCTTTAATTGGTATAATTATTTCAGATAATGATCCATGTGACCCGGATGTAAACGTCAATTTCAATAACAACAAAGTCGTGGATACCAGAGGAAGTACCGTCGTCAACAAGGGAGGTGCTGCTGTAAACAACGGAATAGCTACCTTCAATGGTCAAAACCGACAGAGAGTTCAATTCATGCGTTATACCAACAACGACTTCACCTTACCTTTAGCCATCAAAATCAAATACCGAGACACCGAAAGTAAACAAAATATGGCTTTGGTAGCCACTGGTGACTGTTTAAGCAAACCCGGTCTGTATGTTTTGGTTGGAAACAGTCAAGTCACCCTTGGTTTACACACAGAATCACAGGGATACAGTACTAAATATGAAACTTCCACCAACGCACCAGTACGTATCTATTTTACTATTTTTCGATTTCTATAGAACGTTGGTACCGTTGGTATCGACATTTGCTTCGTTACGTTGAACAAGGTATGCTTACTCTTCTAGACACCTGCTACCACTTTTCATTATGAAATACTTACTCTTACTTATAATTAATATACTTCCTCATAAGAAAAGTTCATTAACTGCTACTAATGTTTCGCCAATATGTTGTTTTGGGTTTCGGGTTTCGTTTTGGGGTTGGGATTGTTAGGACTTGGTTTATTATCACCCAGCATTCTGTAGTTTTAATCTAAATTTTCTGTATTCCTAGGGACTTAACCAATGGAAAGAAGTTGTATTCCATTTTGACGGTAGCGTCTTACAGGGTGAAGTTAGAACTTTGGACAGCAATGGAAATAGTATAGTAAACCGATCACCAATCCCACCACGAACAGTTTCATCCGGTGCTGGAGTCAGTAAGTAGTCTAGAACACAAGCTCCAGTTTCACGCCAAGTAGATGGTGTTTTGGTGCTAGATTATCACCCAGTGTTCTGTCGTACCGGGTAATCATACACTGTAACCGCTGACCTGTCTTGCGGACTTATCTAGAAAAAGCCTGAGGGAGGGGGAGGGGTGTCAAAAATAAGATGTGTCTCTTCGAAGGGTTGCCCCCCAGTGTAGAATCCCGTTTAGCCTCTATCATTCAGTCTTTGTCTATGTACAGCTTGGACGAAAGATGTCCTTATAAGGAATAGTCTTGGCGTCCGAGACTAAATTTTTAACATTTACAGAGCTTAGTTTTCACTGCCAGTGGCCAACACTCTAAAGAATACGACACTGGGCATACCATATGTAAATATTGACATTATACTGTAACGATACTATTTGATTTGCAGGAATTTTGGAAACAGAAGGTGCTATGGTTCTTGGTTATGCTCATGATAGTGGTTATCCAGGATTCGTCGGTGACGTCGATGAAGTAAGTAACTTGTACCTTAACCGCCATATTTTGTGGTGTCGGAGGTGTAATGCCCTCAGATCGCCATCTCGATAATGTCTAGCTATTACGAACTGTATCTAATACCTTTCTTGCATCACGGAAATTATATCCCTCGTCTTCATTAGCCCATATGGCGCAGAAAAGTAGGACGTAAAACTTTCTATTTCTATTTCTAACCAATAAAATAATATATTTCAGTTCACCGTATGGAGAGGATGCAAAGCCAAAGCTTCACCAAGTGAATATTAAACCCGCCATCTTGTTTCCACTGTCCAGTAAAACATGGCAGATGTAACCTTGATAACAAGAGATAACCAGATTTTTCATTTTTATTTATTAAATTAAATGATAACTCCAATATTTTCTTCCATATTTTTATACTTTTTACGATCATATTAGAATAAAGATTATATGATAAAGATTGCAAGTAATTCCTTGTTTTGTTGATAAAAAAAAACCCAAGTAGCCTACTGACGATCAGAACCGCAAAACGAAACCCGAATTTAAAATAACAGTTTGGCGAAACATGGCTGGCAGCTAATGAACTTTACACTTTTAACAGAGCATTAAGGGTTTACTTCAAAAATGACCTTTCAGAGGCCTGAGGGAAGGGCCATGACCCAAAGCCACCACCCTAAATACGCCTCTGACATTGTGAAGATATATATACAGTGGAATAAAAATCCGTACAATTCCGTTAATCAAAATCTCGTCCAAAAAAGGCCAAATCAGGAGTAAAAGTTGGTATAGTAGTGGACTCCTCCAAAGAGAAATCAGGGGTTAAGAAAAGAGTAAGCCTGGCCGCTTCACGCGCGACACCTGCCACTACTATCTAGGTCAACATCATGAGATATAATCAGATCAATTTATACCTGACCAAACATGAAACACTTTTTATCAATGGTCCAATACTAGTTCTGTCACAGAAGCATTTAGTCAAATTTCTAATACTGTGCACAATATACCAGAAACAGAAACAAAATACATGTAGCAGACGATTCTCCCCAAAGAAATGTTTTGGAAATGGGGTTGATTTGGTGCATTCATTTTTTGGGACATAACGTATAAGAATCATGTTTTATAATTGG